CTGGGTGGGCTCAAACGACGACAGGGGAGCAGGCAGTAGCCGTGCACCACCAGGCATCAGCTGTACACCATCAGGCATCATCACACTCAGCACCTCCCAGCCTCGGCACAGTGAGGCACAGAGTCTTCCCCAAACAGCTTTTTAGCTGCTGCAGAGAGTACCTCTGATTGGCAGACATACATGCCCAAGTACCTGTATCACACTTAAAGATGGTACTCAGGACCCACGTTGCTGGCACACTTCTCAGAGGGATACCTCCCTGCTTTCTGCATGGAGCCCCTCATAATGCCCCACCAAAACCTGTCCCCCAGCCAGGCAGCAACACAGGACAGAGCTGGGCTTGATGCTCGAGGAATGGGCAAAACACTAACCTGTTTGCCTGCCTGCAGCTGCACACACCATCCTGTTGGTGAGACCCAGCCATGCCAACAGCCCCTGCTGAGCCCCACACTCAACACGTCTGCATGTGGCACCACCGGCACATGCAGCCTTAGCCAGTGCCAGAGCACACCTCAAGCCAGCGCAGACGCAAGGCAGCACAGAGCAGCATGCACAAGGGGCAAAGGGGGGCTCCTCCAAAAGGAGTGGCTGGTCAGGACAAAAAAGGTGTCTTCCCACCAATCTTCCTCCCTGCCTCCTCCCCATCACCTATGTCCCAGCAAGCACGGACGGTCACATGTCATTCACGAGGTGCAAGCTGGGGTTGTAAATGATGTGAGAAAGTACGGAGGGAAGGATATCTAGTGAATCTCTCCATCCCACAGCGTGTTTCCTCTGCACTGCTGGGCCCTGCCATTACTATATCGCTTTTCTCAGAAAACAGTACCTCTCAGAGAGCACTTTCATAATCCCTTGTTGGAAAGCCTGGCCCTGACCCCTGTGTTTTCAGGGCTGGTACATCGGGTGCAGACTTCTCTCCAAGTCTCCACCTAGACTAAGTGCTGTGGTAACCTGTTCTTATGTGTCCATACAGGTAGCCTGTCTAAACCTCACCAGCTCTGCACACAGATCACAAACCTGCAAGAAGTCGCTTTCATGAGGTCTGCAGCACTTGAAGCACTGTTAACTACCAATACTTGCAGCACGAATACTCACATCCTAGCTACAGGGCTGATCCAGAGCAACCGTTTTCTTCCCATGGTGACCCAACCTGCTCTACAGCACCATGGTGAGCTGTCACACGCCTGTTCCTTATTAGCCACAGGCACAGTAAGAGGTGGGAAGGTGTGTCAGTACAGATGAGATGCCCCTCACATCTGCAACCAATACCATGCTCCAGCTGCTGTCTCATTCTGGGTTCATTGGTACCACTTGATACGACCAGGTAAAGCTGACGGCATCAGCCTGAAGAAAGCCTGCCAGGCACCAGTACTAACATCTAGACTGAATGGTATTAAACACACGCAAGTCAGTGGCAGCTCCAGGTGTTTAAAGAAAACTGAATTGAAGTAACAACATTTGGAGTGCCAAGGTCTGTTTCCCCTTTTCCTGCAAAAAGCACCATGACATGCATGAGTTGCTCATCTTGAACACGACCTGTGTCCTCCTCAGATCCAGGGGGAAAACCCAGTACTGGCACTTGGCAAAGACCTGGGTGCGGCAAGCAGAGAGAGGGAAGTCACAGAAAGGTACTAGTGCACCATGGTCCTATTTCTGCTCTATGGTTGGGATAGAAAAAAAGAGAAGAAGAGTGTGCACAGTGGGAGGAATAATTCTTAACAGATGAAAGAGGAGAGAGAGAGGTCAGTGCTAGCTAACGTACCTCACAGCAGGGTTTCCATTATACAGAATATAAATGCCAGCTTCTTTATTCCCATAGATCTGATTGCTACGGATGATGCCTTTTCCGTTGCCAACGACGACAATGCCTGAGCGAAGGCCACTGTGTATCTTATTGCACTACGGTTTTATTTTTGCACATGTAGAGAGAATAAAAGCAAAAGGAAGGAAGGTCACTCATAAAAGTGAGCAAGAGGAGACAGCAACCACAGAGAAAAGCAACAGCTCCCAACCCTGCTGGGTTAAAGGGCAGAAGGGTAATTAATCCAGCTGCCAAGAAATCACTCTCAAACGGTCAAGGCACACTTAACTTTTACCCTTCCTTGGGGTTCTCGTATACAATGCCAAATTTCCCTTCCCATCATGCCTGCAGCCTCTTCCTCCTCCAGCAGCTCCTGCTGCCATCTCCAAGGCCTGGCCTGGACCCAGCGATGCTCTGTTCCCCGCAGCCTGTCTGACACTGGGCAGGGCTGGTGAGGCTGCAAGTCCAGCACCTTCCCCTTGCCACCCAGAGGAAAAGACCCTCGTGGCACCCCACAGGAGCTGGAGGCAGGAGTCCAAGCAGGGTGCCTGGCATTACAGCGTGATGCCTTTTCTCAAGCTGCTAGACGGCACTTCGCACAGCCTGAATGCCCGCTGTCAGCAGCTGTCAACAGCCGCGCAGCTGCGTCTCTCCACAGGGGCCAACATCCCCGTGAGGACAGGAGTACGCTGGGACGCTCCGAGCCCGGTACCTCGCGGAGTGGTGGGGTAGGAATTGCCAAACCAGGCAAAGCAACAAACAAGAGCTCAAAGCTGCAGCCAAGGGCAGGCGTGGCCCGCGGCTCCGTGGCTGAACTGGCACCTCCTCCTCCACAGGGCTGCAGCTCTGCCTGCGCAGAGGGTCACTGGGATGGCAGTTTGTATCCACCCCTCTGCCTCTCCCCACACGGTGAGGCCCCGGTTCCTTCAAGGATGACCACAGACACAGCATTCAGTAAATGGGGACAAGGTCACCCGCTGCACAGCTGGAGACACTACTGATTCGGCAGGAAAGCCATGCTGGGGGGAGGCTGCTGGTCCCCTTCTGCCCAGGGCTGGGCACATAGCTGAGACCTACATCAGGTCCCAGGGTAGACAACATGATTCCCAGTGTGGGAGAAACAATTTACAGTACAGTGCCGATTTACTACCTTCCCTGCACAAGTTCACGTGGGGAGTTTACTTGATAGGAGAACATGCCCCTACCCTCCCCTCTATGCGCAGAAATTTTAAGACACGTACCATCAAATAGAGCAGGAGACCATGAATGTATCATCAGTCAGCACTTTGCTGTGCCTTGCCCTTGGACTTAGCTGTAGTCTAATTCATCAGCAAAATCGAAGAAACAGGCTGAAGGGCAAGGCTAACAGAAAGGTCAGTGTTTTCTATACTGGGAGATGGATCCCCACTGCCCCTCGGAGAGAAACAGCACATGAAAGAAAGAGCACGCTGCCCTCCAGCACGGCTCGGAGGGGTACATACCAGAACGAGGGGGTTGGCTCCCTTACGAATGTCCACTCCGGCCTCACAGTTCGAATGGATGTTGTTGTCTGCAATCAGGCCTCCTGCTGACAGGCGCAGGAATATCCCTGACGCTTTGCAATGGTGGATGTCATTCCTCAGCATGATAACCTGTAGTGAAGAGGAGAAGCACCTGTAGCTGTAGTCAGAAGGACAAGGAGGAGGACATGAACAAAGGGTATAGCTCTCCCTTCTGCAACCTCTGTGCATCTACCACCTCTCTGCCTCTCCTGCAACCCAGGGTGTGCCAGGCACACAGTCCAGCTGCAAGGAAGATGAGTGTGGGTGGACAAGTGCTACGGTAAAGCCTGTTGGGCATTACCCACTGCCATGGGTCTGCTTGGGGATGGGGACCCACAGAGCTTTGTGCTGCACAGCCAGAGGACAGACATCCTTTTGGTCTCACACATCCCTCTGCTTGACAAAGCCCACGTTCAGGTGTGCCCAAATGGCTTCATTCACACCGTCAGCAATAGCAAGTGACCATTCCCTGTCCCATCTCCACACCGCTCATCGTACAACAGACCTGACCCATCCCCTCGGGCAGTCCCCATTTGCATCAGCATCCTCTCAGTACAGTCAGCAAGAGGCTGCCTCCTGACTCCCTGCTGCACAGAGCTGCTCGGAGGTGACACGGTCAAACGTTCCAGAGCCTCCCATGAGTCTCCCATGAAGCTGACCAGGCCAGTGCGCAACAGCAACGAGACCCGTCCATCACCTTGTGCCTTTAGAGCAAAGATCCTGCCATTTGGGGGCAGAAACGGCCCAGCCAGCGAACTGTAGTCACTGACACCAATCATAACAATCTAGTTTCCTCTAAGCAAATAAATAGTTAAATATTTACACAGCAGCAATCTTTAATATTTTGCAGCCAAACAAAATCATGTCTTAAATCCATGTCTTACGAGTGCTAAGAAATGATCTACAAATTGCCTTTGCATATCCCACTTCAATGAGCAACACAGATCAGAAGGTAATTAAATTATACCTCCTTTTATTTGCTCATTCCAGAAAGGTGCTTCATTCAATCTCTTGACTAAATGTGGAGCTCAGAAGGGCTTGACAGCCGCCTGTCTTCATCAGTCACACTTGGCTGCCTGGGGAGGGAGCTACAGGAGGTGAGAAATGCAGGCAGCCGCTCCAGCTGGGTCCCACACACCAGGCCCTGGCCCAGGCTTGCCCTGCGCCAGAGGGTCCTGGCTGTGCAAGGACACCGAGCCCTTGCCAGCTCCACCATGCTCCTACTTCGTGTTGCAGCTTTCCCTCATCTCACAGGCAAGCATTTCACTGTCTCCCATTGCCTGATGCTCTGACACCCACCTCTCAACAAGAGCCTCTGGGCCAATTCCGAGCTGAGCAAATTCTCACGGAGAGCAGCAGCTGGACTGGCCTCATCTCCCCCCCATTCGCTACCAGCCAACACCAGGCTGCTGAGCAAACGGAAGCAAGCCAAAGGGAATAAAACCAGAATACGGTCCAAAGTGCTGGACCTACATTTTTTGCTAGCCTAACTCCCATGAAAGCAGCCCCCAAGCAGCTCAGAGGGGACTTTGGCAGTGATTCTCCCCCCAGTCCTCGCTGCCACCATCCTGTCTGAAGAGGAGCACAGACACAGAGGCGGAAAGCTCCAGGCAAGCACAGGGTTAGATGTTCTGCTGAGGGAAAACCTCAGTTCAGCCTCTGGCAAATGTCCTCGGCCAAAATCCCTCCCTACACCCTCTCTGTGCCTGCAGCAGGCACCCACTCCTGCACACCCTCCTGAAGTAGCCAGGACTGGCCATGGTGAGGGGCAAGACCAGGGGCTGACACGGCAGTCCCCAAATCCCTACATTTGTGGTACGGGCTGTGCTGGGAGCAGCAAAGGTGATGATAACCAGCAGCACTTCTACAGGGTGAGAGTTCAATTCATAGGTAGAGCGGGCCTAACTACATGACCCCAACATGGCACCGAGTTAATGCCTTCATCTGCAATTACATTACTGCACGCAGAAAGCAGCCTGCTGCAAGCAACCTGCCTTTCGTTTGGGCTGGTTAACCCAAGCCAGGCATAGGAAAGGAGCTGGTGGAGCAGGAGGGAGAGGGAAGATGGCTTGCCAGGAGTCTTCACAGCACCTTACTGTTTTGTATGCAGCGCACTGCGTAGGTCAGATCCCTGAAGATGCTTCCTTCCAGTTTTGCTTGCCCTCGTGAATAAATGAATATTCCTCCCTTCCCGTCCCTGAAAAGGCACTGTCGGATGATGCAGCCTTGCACAGAGCTGGCCAAAGACTGGGCCTCCTTGTCCTGCTGCAGCTCCTGCTGCAGAGACTTGAGCTTAAGGTCCCTCTGAAGGGTGTGCAGTCTGTTGCTTTGAAGCCTACTGTCCGTAATGTCAGCAAGCGTGTGACTCAGTCTGAGGGCTTCATAGGGCAGTTTGTACGCAGCCTGAGCATCCTCTTCATCGTCGCTGCATAAGTCACTGTCGCTGGAGTTTGAGTCGATGGCTGGGTACTCCTCCTTTGCTGCCCGCAGGTTCCCTCCAAATTCATGGTCCTCCTGGGTTGTGCCAAGCAAGGCTTGAGCACCCGCAGCAGAGGGGAAGCTGCTTCGTTCTTCCCCTACAACAATCTCGCATGTTCTCAGTGGCCCCAGCAGTGACTCCCCCCAGCCATCCCGCCTGGCCACAGGGCAGCCGGCTGGGTCAGGGTCCCACATGGATGCTGTGCAGGACTTGGCCAGCATGGCCAGGTGCTTGCAGGCCCAGTTACGATCAGAGCTTGGGCAGCCCTCCACAGTTACAGAGGCGTTCTCACTGCCGGTGAACTCACAGTTCTCCAGGAGGCAGAGGGCCACGCTGTGGAGGTGGATGCTGGACTGGCTGAAGGTGCAGAACTTCACCTGGCACGTCCCTGGCGCGTGGATCTGCAGCTGCCCGCTTTCAAAGTTGCAATTGTCGAACTGGACGTAGCCCGAGGTTGTCTGGAGAGTAAGCACAAGGTGAGATGACTGCACAAAGCAAGAAAAAGCAGACCTGGATGTACCACAAAGTCCTTCCACAGCATGCTCACAAACACACGATGTGTTCAGGTGTCACAAACGCAACGAGCTCACACAGGCACAGATACAGTGCTGAAAGCTGAGTATCTTGCAACAAGTGACACCTACTGACTTCTTCCCTGCTGGCGTTTCCTTAACTTCCCTGCCAAGACACAGCTTTGCAGCCCCAGCAGCCATGCATGGGAGCAGACAGGCCCTAGGTGTGCCAAGATCACTAAACCTTAGCAACGCTCCCTGCACAGAAGACTCTGCAGCCTTCAGAGACATGCATTTGCCAGCTGGCATTGTTAATACTCAGGGGTTTACAGGGTGAAGCAGCAGGTAAGACAACATCAAACATTGCCTGGTTGGCCCGGAGAGCTACAGCTCTCCCTGGAGCCATTACCATACTTGCAGGAAGGATGCTGCACCCACAACAGGTCAAGTGCAAAGCAAAACGGGCAAAAACTTGTGCTGTGTTGCTGCGCGGGTGGTACATTGTGATATTGCAGCAGAAGAGACGGCATGAATTCCTTGTTCCCTGGTTGTGGTTTCCCATCTGACTTGCTGGTACTTGCAGAACCATTAGCCATCCCTACCACGGCCTTCCTCCTTTGCTAGGCAATACACACAACAATTTATGGGTGCTGGCAAACCACCAGGATGACTGTGCATGGCCAAATCTCTCTCTCCTGCACAGGCAGGGCAAGTCTCTACTCATCTACAGAAAAGGCCAACGAACCTGAAACAAGGCAGAAGAGCCAGGCCAGAAGAGATGAGTAGCGTGCTTGGAATTTAACTGTGCTCCTGATCTGACTAGGAATCTCCTAAATAGTTACTTTCTCTTTGCAGGTTATCCCTTGATTGCCTAGTGCACCACATGAAGAGCAGACAGACCAATGCTTGTGAGAGGTGAGCTGGGGCAATTTTAGAGAGATTTCCAGAATCTGCAGCTAACACACCATCCTAACATTTGTTTTCAGCCTTGAGCACTCTCAGAAGTGGTCATACTGCAAACAGGTTTTGAAATGCATTTCTTTGTACCCAAAGACAACCACACAGAAATCCCTGAATTGTACCTTCCCTTTTTTAGTTAAAAAAAGCTAATTAAAAGGTGCACAATCAAATTAGCTTCTGAGAGGCTGCATGTGAAGGCCCTTCTGAAATTGCAACTCACATGGTTTTATGACTGTCAGTAGGATCGGCATAAGTTTGCTTTTTCAACTTGTTTTTCATTGACGGATTTGGGAGAAAACACTCTTATTCCATCAACAGCAGCTGAAGGGCTGCACCATCACCCCGCTGTACGCAGAGACCAGAGCGATGGCCAGAAAGGCAAAATGCAGCCACGCTGACCAGCCAAACGCAGGACACATCACTGAGCAAGACACCATGTGTCCGCTTCAGCAATCCAGCACGTGGCCACGGACAGAGACTTTCTCAGCAGATTTGTGACTTGGTTTTCCCACCGCTTGCTGGCACATTATCTGTCTCCTGAGGACTTTCAGACTGATTAAGTTAAATGTAACACATAATAAAATGGTGGAAAGGAAATGAAACCGTAAATTATAACTAAGGATGGGCTGACTCATCACAAGGAAGGTCTCGTTTTTGGAGGCACAGCTCACGGGTGCAGCACTTGCACTGGGCACATCCTGCTCTGGACCAGTCAGCAGCTGGTCCAGACCACGTCAGCGGAGCTCGGCCTGTGATCCCCTGTCCTGGCTTAGGCCCAGAAAGACCCTGAGCATCCCAGCCAAGGGCTTCCAGCCCAGGCTGAGGACAGAGCACACATCAGCGCCAACCAGTTTTTGGGGCAGCAGAGCTGGTGTGGAGGACACAGCAGGGAGGGCTGGCTCCCAGGGGTGCCTCTTGCACACCAGGCCTCTTGAATCACTCACGCCTCGCCATGTGGGCAGTTGGAAAGGCGGCTGGTGATAAGGAGAAGATCACTGAACAAAGGAAAACGCCTGCCAGCCTAGGAGCTGGGAGCCAGAAACATCCTTGAGAAGCACAGCTGCATCTCTGAGGTGCAGGTGGGTACTGAGAAACCAGAGGCATCCTGAGATATCACCAGTAAGTGCAAAAAGCAAGGGATTCCAATGGCAACTTACCATCGGGAATAGTGGAAACAGCCCAGAAAAAGAAAATTGCTCTGAAAGAACAAAACCACATCATCTATTGGATGCTTCAGGTGAAACACGGAAATTAGCAGCACCTATTGGTTTCTCAAAGTGGTGGCGTGCTACACTCTCTTAAAACAAACTTATCTTTTATCCAAGATGGAGCTCCTCTCTCTGAGAACGTCCCATCCTGCACGTACTTTTCCTTTCCTAAATCGGCTGAACTCTCTGCGTGAACCTGCTATCAGATCCCGGACACCATCCGGGGATGCCCAGCTGACGCCAGACTGTGACACGGACCACCTTTGCTGTGAGACTCTGTTACCTGGCTGCTCCCCTGCGGCCTCACTTTTGGGGTTGGTTCCGTTCGCCTTCCCACCTCTGGGACAACTGGGTGCCCCTCTGGGATGGTGTGACGGGTGCACCCACTCTGACCAAGCAAGCAGCGCTGTGGTTCAGGCATCACTCTGACAAGTAGCCCTGACCACAGCCAGCCCTGCGTGAGAATGCTGTTGGGCCAGACCTCCACAGGGACTAAGGAGCCTCAGTCATGTCTCACCAGGAGCAACAGTGCCAGCCTGAGTTGAGACTAGACAACACTAAAATCGCTATGGCCGCACACCTGCACAGCACCAAA